ATATTATAAAAAAGATTATATTTATTATACAGTTTAAAAATAGTAAATGATTTCTGTTTAAAATTTTTAATATTTAAACTTATTAAATTTAACTAATAAGTTATACACTTTTTATACAAAAATATAAAATTCAGTTCCTTAAAAAGAGAGAAATTAAGGATTTTTCTTAATATAAATAGTTCTTAAAAACAAATAAATTCATAAAAAGTAATTAATTAAAACGATATAAGTAAAAACTTTAAATATTAGTAATTTATAATCATATTACATGATAAAGTCGGCAAAATTGATTATTCTGAAACTTTCATTCTGTTATTTACTCTATCAATTTTTCTATACGTTTGAATTAAATGAATAATGGGTTATACAGAGTAGAGGGTTATACTAAGGAGAACTAAAAGAGTACAAAATAAATCTAAGTTATATACAATATATTGTTTAATTTTAATTTTCTTTAATTGTTTAATTATTTCTAAATGGAAAGTATGAAACCTCAAGACCCTCCCTGTAGGCCCACACAGTCTTGACTCTACAAAACAAAATTTTAAAAAGAGAAATATCTGGTGTACGATAAAATAAATAGAAATAAAGACATCAAAGTAAAGTAGAAAGAAAACAAATTTGATAAATTCGAAAGTTTATCTTTTCCTTCCATTCTCTAAGGGCATACTAACATGTAATCACGTAGAGAGTTAATTTCAAATTTTTTACGAACTTTTTAAGGTAAGGAAGAACTAAGATAAAATAAAATCATTCGATATGAAATCAGTTTTTTTTTTTTCTGTTTTTAATCTCAGAATACATAAAAGTTAGAAGATTGTAATACAAAAGTGTATTCTATCAAGGGAAGGAAATAGGTTTGCTTGTAGAATTTAAATCAGTGCACTATGAAATGTCTGATAATTTAAACGTAAATTATTGAGGAAATTTTGAATAGTATTGTTTATTTTATTATATTATTTTTACAAATTCTTTTCGCTCTGTAAGCACTTACAGAGTCTTTTAATCATATCCATCATGCGTTCGGACAGGCCTCCAATTGGGGATGGCCAGATGGTAAGGAACCAGGTCCGACATATTTGGGACAGACCAATCCCGAAAAATTCCTGAGGTTTTTTCTGCCGCCCGAATTCGATCCTGTCACCCGGGAATTATTCTTTTAATCTTTAATATGAAAACGATGCGAAATGGCTGAAATGAAATATGTCTTCGATAATATAACTATATCTCAATGTAATAACCCGAAAGACGAACGTTGAATGAATTTTCTAAAAAAATATTTATTTTGATAGTTTAATTAAAATTACATTTAATTAAATAATTTCCGAATGCTGATTACATATTGATAAAATAGAATTCCGAATTATTTAATTTTTTCTTAAAATAAAGAGAATTATTGAAAAAAATAATTACTAAAGATAGCTATTTTTATTTCGTAATTGCATTTATTCAGCTTATAAAACTAAATTAAGAATTAAATAACTATTAATAACGGTAATAAATATGTTTAACTTCTGATAATTTTAACAATTCTGATGGTAATACAATAGACCTTTGATTATCCAAATAAATGAAAAGATCTCATTATGGTTACTAAAGATCCTGTACCCGTTTAAGTCCTGTATCCAGTTAATAAAACCAATAAATTTGGAAAATATGAAAACAACAATGTATACAGTATCTTGTGTAATTAACTAGAAACTTTCCTTTTTCTACTGCCAATAACCTGCAAAGTCAGGTGAGTCATAAAGCGATATGTAATGACTCATTTAAACATTTTGACATCCTGGTTAATCCGCTTCTTGATTACTTCAAATCCGGATAATTGAGAATCTGTTAATTACATATTTATCAAACGGAGTTGATGTTTGTGTTGTGTTTCGGTTTTTTCATTTCCATTTTTTATTATCTTAGTCAAAAGATAAGTCTATAAATATTTTAAAATGAATAGATATTTCTAATCCGATAAGGTAAAAGTTTAAATCTTCTCGGAAAATATCATTAATTAAAGTTCTTTACTACTGAATTTGTTACAGAATTATTTTAAATATATGTAACTTATCCTGTATAAACATCAATTTCACGAACTTTATATAAAGTTATATAATACAAAGGAAATTATTTTAATTCTAAGTACAGTACGTTACTCCATATTCTTTTTTATTTATTTTAAATTACATCAAAAATGTCTGTAGATTTTGAGATATAGGCTAAAGTAATAAAGCACAATCACTAAATACTGTAAATAATTTTTTTATAGCGTTTTGTCAATTATTAATTCAAAAATTCAATTATATAAACTTAAGTTGTAAAGGAAGTGATTGTAACACGTAAGCAATCGAAAAATTGATAAAGCTTTCAAATTTATATTACTGTGGCTCTTCAATTATCGTATTTTAAACAAATCATATTGCTCCAAATTTTGAAAATTTGTTGCAGCATGATAGCATAAAATATGTGGCATTAAAGATACATTATGAAATGAATCATGGATACGTTTTTACGAAGAGAACTTTTGCCTTTTACAGTAAACAAATAAATAATTTCCTTATTTTCCTGATAACGACGTTAATGAAATGACTTCAGACGTTTTTTACTCTTCAGATAATAATTTTTTCATCAAATGTTTTAACATTAAAGAGACTGATATTTCTATATCAGACTGCCATTACCGCTCCATAGCGTTAGACCGCGAAAGTCCTTGACCGCTTGTACGGTACACTTGTACTGATTTACACGTTTCTCCTGTGCTATCTCTTTCCATCTCTCTTTTTCTAAGCCTCCCATTTCAACGTCCTTCTTAACACCATCTTCTCATCTTAAAGGTGGTCTGTCAACTTTCCTCCTAATGACTAGCATTCCCATCAGAATCTGCTTAACAAATCATTTTGCAAAAGCTGCATATGTTAATAATTGTGGGAAAGTATGGCAAAGGCAGTATAGTTCCCCATATAAATGTCGAACAGTACTTACTTCCATATTTTTTCATTGTTTCTAAATTATAAAATTTTTCATGTTCTAATGTGATTTCATTTTTCTCTGGGACAAGGATTCTTCTCAGAACTTTATTTTCAAAGATTATGGTTTTGTTTTTACAGTGAATTAGGAGTGATCGTGTTTCACAATCATAAGTTATGATCGGTAGTATTATTATTCTGTTTATTTCCATCTTAAGATTTCTTCATACCGTATTTGTTTTGTTTTGATTGCATTTTATTCGTAGAGATTGCTTTGTAAGTACCAGGTAATTGTAATTAAATTAGCCCCATTCAACGATAGCTAGAAGGATAGTTAGTAGTCTAAATGCAAGCAAATTTTGTATGGTGACATTTCAGTACGTGAGGAAGAGATTTCAGCAAAAAAATTAGTACCAAAACTATAGCACTTTTGGCGCTACAAGTAACAAACATTTTACTGTGTTTCTAAAGATACTCATGCTGTACAGCGTCCTTAGTCATCAGAGGATACTGCTCAATTTGATCCTATTCGGAAAGTGTATGACCGTCGAGAGCTTTTATGAGGCCCGGAGTATAGCCCTCCTTTTGCAATGTTTTTCATTGAACAAATGAATACTTAGAATGTTTCTTTATTAAAACGGAGTATTAAAATTTTTATTTTTTGTTAATAAAAATGACATTCATTTTTAGGTATAGGAACTACCATAGGCTCTTATTATTTTCCGGGAAAGGTTTCCTCAGCTTCCCCCTCTCGATGGCCAGAAAAGGTATAAGATCTAAAGGCGACAAACCGTGTTTTCGATGGCCAACAATAATTGATCCTCTATGATGCTTCTCACATCCATGATACTAACTTTCAAATTTGCAATATGTCCTTGATAAACCACACGTTTTAAACGTCCCCACAAATGAAACTTGCTTGTAGCACCAAAAGCACTATCTGAGGCAAAGCACAATCGTTCTTCCTTGCAGTGTTTCTGGTAAACACTGGGCAGCTTTCCGGTGTAGTAACTTGACTCTAATACTGCTCTTCTAGGTTGAGCATATATCACAACCCAAGTTTTTTCAGTTATACTAATTAAACGGACCGTTATAATAACAAACAATCTTGAATTCGTAACGACAATCTCAAAACCAAAACCAAAAATTTATACTAAAGAATTAGAAGATGGAATAGATTCCAAACATAGGAACATAAAGATACTCGAGAATATTTCAGGCTCAGGGAGTATATTGAAGAAGCAACATTGAAAATCTATCCATTCTCGTTCCAAACAGTAAGAGAAAATAAAATAAATAAAAGACAAAGGAAAAGTTTAGAATGGCAAAAAATACCTAATGTAAAGAGAGAAACATTGCAAGCAGTACACAAAAGAAACCAAAAGAAACTAAGAGAAGTGAAAACTAAAAATCCAAAGAAAAACCGAAAGAAACTATATAAAAGAATAAAAAGAGAATCAAGAGAAAGATATATTGGTATTCATCTTACTGTATGGTTTATTCTGTTATATAATATGGATTCAATCCATCTTATATACAGAGCCAACACAGGCAAACACCACTTTCGGGCTTAATGCTTTCCTAAAAATATGTACGAAAATCGAAAGCCCAAACCTCAAAGAATGGAGTTGCACGTTATAAATGGAGTTTCGTTTCCAGAAAGCTTCAAAAAGTATGTGAAATCTTTGATAAATGTAGAAAATATTACTTTTTTACAATGAATATGTTACGATGTATAAAAATTATTTAAAAATTAAACACAACACGAATATAAACCTAATTTTCAAATCATTTTGATGCTACCAAAATCAAAGCTGGAAGACAGTCCAAAATTTTTGTCTTTGCCTAAAATTTTTTTAAAAAATAAGAATTTTGTGCACGAACTTTGAGTTAGAAAAGTTGGTTATGAACGAAAGTGGGAGTTTTCTGAATGTCCAATGTCCTCCAGTCGAGGACCGCCTGAATATAAGAGTACAGTATTTCACTGAACCGTTAAATTTCATTCAGAAATGAGAGGAAAAACGATAGAAAGCATATAACAGCATATTTTAGTTTGCTATTTTTGTTTTTACAATTTGTCCTTCCTTATCAAATGATATGTCTATGTATATAAAAATTTCTAAAATAAGCCATGCATTCCAATCTAACCTTCAACCTTATGCAAATATAGAACAATCTCTAAAAAAAAAGAAAACAAAAAATAAAACAAAATAACAACATGACTAGAGTATTAAACAAAGCTTAATAAAGACAAATGAAACAAAATAAACAGGAATATTGCTTATATCTAATAAATATAAAATGTCTATATAATACAAAATATAAAGCAGATCCAATAATAAAGTATATTAATCTGTTGGTATTAAATATTCAAGATACCTCAGAATTTATGTTACTTGTTTATTAGTTATTAACATTAACTTATAGATCGATTCTATATTTATATTAAATACATTTTGAATAGTTAATAAAAAGAAATATAGGCCCTATAAATAATACGGTTACTTATTCAATGTTGAAATTTCATAAATTAAATCTGTTTTTATTTTATCCAAAATTTTTATAGCATAATCCCATTGACGAATTTTACATTTATCTAAAAAACAGGCCTACTTACCGGTATTTTATTTTATTTTTTTGAAAGAACTTGCGCCATTTTTTGTTATGGATATCGATTCTTATCTTACGAAAGTTTTCGTGTAAGATGAATTTTTTCAGCGTGTTTTTCATCTTATAATTTAATTATACATTTCGTGATTAATAAATACAATATCTGAAAATAATATAAAAATATAGGAATTTAAAGCATAGATCTGATACCTTGACCTGAATTCCTTTATTTTGATATGTTTATTACTTCAAAGCACTATACGATTAAAAATGTATTATATGATCTTAATACATATATAAAATACTAAAAGTATTATATATAGAGTGTCGATGTTTTTGTTTAAAGTTTTCCAAATTGTATTTTTTATTATTTTTCACGTTTGCTTTCGTTTCTTTGTTTCATATTATAGTTAAAATTTAAATTTTCTTTCTTTTCAGGTTATGTGCTATGTAATATATATACTGTGTATATACAGGTTATTGGATATTTATACATATACAGTATATATACCATAAATTATATGTATATAAAAGACTTATGTAACTCTGTCATATTAGATTATGTTAGTTTTCCTGTAATATATTCCGAGTGAAATTATCATTCTTTTCGCACAAATAAAACAATTATTTAAAAATAATTTCTTATAGTTTAAAGCAATTGAAAGCTTCTAAATAAGAAACACAATAGAAAAACAAAGAATAAATAAGGAAACATAACAAACGAAAATAATTTATTACACATTTTTACTTCAGATAACATTATTAAATGCTAGAACACAATAAGAACTTACAAACTCCTTGAAGATTCGGAAATTCTTGTTTAACAATAACATCTTTTCATTATTGTTTAACAACTTTATCATTTGTTCAAATGATAAAGATGATAAACAAGAATTGTTATTGTTGGAAAGTCCAAGATGTCATTGTTAAACAAGAAACAAATGTTCAACATATGTTTAACATCATATGTTGAACATTTGTCTCTTCTTTATTTGTTTAACATATGATATGATGAAATAAAAAAACAAATGTTATATGTTTATATTTATATACATATATATAATTATATGTATATAAATATAATAAAATGTAGGCCAACAGATTTTTTTATAGGCTACAATTATCAATTTTTCACAATTTATTCATTTTATAAATAATTCTTAGAATTTAAATTTCTGTAAATACTGTAAATAATATAAATTATTATTAATTTAACATATTCTCTATTATTAATTCTTCAGGTTATTAAACTCATTACATTTATTAACTCTCTAAATTCTATAGAAATTAAGTTCAGAATACTTAATTTAATTCAGATGAAACTCATAACTGTTTTAGAAATATCAATTGATAAATAATTATACTGAGGAAGCTTTCAACATCAAAACCAATTTTTCGAATGAACAACTATAAAATTATTTAAATTACGATTCACATTTGCTTAATATTTGGAAATTTTGTAACTTCTACGACGAACAAAGTTAAATTAATTACATAAAAACTTGTATTTTTATCTTTTATCGTTGAATAAGAAGGATGTGTACAATACTAGGAAAGATCTGCAATAAAGTTACAGAGAATTTGCAGTAAAAATAACTAGGAAGATAAGAAATTTAATGCAATGTTTAAGCTAATTAACATAACATGATTTTTGTGAACGTTTCTATAAAAGTATTTTTACTTTTTTTATATTTGCTATTCTTAAATTCTCTAATACTTTATGGATTTATTCAAATTTATAAAGTATTACTGCATTGAGTAATTCTGTAAATCAGATAGTCTGAACAAGAATTCAAATATCTCTGATATAGTAAGGTCGATTCACTTCTCAGAAACTGTAGAAAAGAATTTCTAAAAAAAGTATTACTATTTAAAACAGGAAAATTCCTAAAATCTCTCTCATAATGAAACACTATGGTATGAGTCGAGAGAAAAATTGCAAACATCAAGACATCAAAAAGAGAAGCATAAATTAAAGATCATATTGAAAATATCGTTACAAATTGATAGCTATAGCATGGATATATATGAACAATATCAAACCCAATAAAATTTGGGATTTAGTAGCAGATTGATTCTTACTTTTACATAGTGATATATTAATTTTAACAATATTAAGGCTAATATTTCATTATAAATGTTGTTTTACATTAAAAAAATGAAAATTTTGAAACTAAATTATTCACCACATATTGTTATTCGATATACTGTATTTAAATGATTATCGATGATGACGATTCCATGAGTGATTCCGTGCTCCAACATACGTAAAAAAAAATTATGAGTTCAAAGCCTTCCAACGATTTACTGTTAGACTTATTATTATAATTATAGTTACGGATAATTTCGGATGTAGTAGATAATTCTGTATTTTGTACTGGTCACATTTATTATGCTTCACGTTTAAGTGATTTCTATGGAAAAATTTCGAAATAACATCAGCTTTGTGTACTGTTCCATGTTATACCTTTTCTTTTGACAATTTATGAACTCGAGAATTGATTAGGATTATTTATTTTAATAGTAATTTTTAAAAGTTTCAGAGATAAAAATGAAAATATGCAGAAATCATTTTTTGCGGCAGGAATTTAATTTCTGTGATTCTTAGTTGAGTAACTTGGGTTCACAGAACCAATAACGTATGCTTTCGGAGGTCCCCGTGCTACCAGGATAATTAAATTTTTTAAACTATGTATAATTTTATAAATACAGTAGAACCTCCATTATCCGGACCTCCATTATCCGGATTTTCGATTATCCGGATTGTCCAAAATAAACAAAAATTTTACGAATTTGCGGATTTGCACTTGGCGAATTACGATACTGTTTATGTACGGATGGAATGATAACTTTTTTTGTTTCAACAACGTCTCACCCAGCACAGTGGTTGTAAACTCTTAAATATATTTTGCGTCGTAATAAAAATATAACTTGACATACGTATTTATAAATAATTTATTTTCAAATTACATCATTTCTATGACCAAGGGCGGCGTAAGGCATAGGTAACGTGGGCCACCGTCTATGCCTCGCGGTCCGAAGGGTCTCGCGTTTCGAAGGTTTATGCATTACTTAAAAGCCGCGAACGCGACGAAAAAATTTTACTCGTCATAAAACGATAAATAGTTTCTCAAATTTTTATTCATAAGAATGCAGTTTCAACTGCTTTTTATTTTATAAAATCCGTCTTCTTGCGCCACCAGAGGGCCTTTTAAACAATAGGTAGTCTGTTAGCGTTGGTCAATAATAGTCCAAATTCAATACAAACGTTTGTTTCTTGAAAATTTGATCACGGTTTAAATACAGTATTTACTTTTAATATTACCGATATGTCATCGAAAAGAAAACGTGTTGTATTATCATTAAAAGACAAATTAAAGTATTTGTTTCGATTATCCGGATTTTTCCTTATCCGGACTACCTTCATCCCCAATTAGTCCGGATAATCGAGGTTCTACTGTATTATTAATCAAATAAAGATAATCAAGCGTAATCTCAAATAGTTATTCTACAAGTAATTTGTTTATGATTTGAACATCAAATACATTCGAAGCTCATTAAATAATGAATAATAAAAAAATCGGTGATTTATTTACTCTGAAAATCTCAGAATATACACACGACTTTAAATGTTAATGGCAAACATGAACTCACGATAAAAGACTATACTATTGATTAATCTCTTTTACTGTAAACCGACGATCTTAAAAATAGTAAAAAAGATCTTTAGATTATTAGCGAACATTTTAGTAATACTATATTATTATTAATGATAGCCGTGACGCCAACTCCACGAGTGCTTGGGGATTCCAACAATCACAAAGGCGATGATTTCATAATTTTGATTATTGTTACCAGTTTTGATGTATCAGAACGGTTTGTATTGCACTGTTTTGGCTTATTGTGAATTTTCTTTTATGGAAAATTTCCCAAATAAGAAATTTCATGTTATACTTTTACTTTTTATAATTTGTATACGTGAGGATTGATTAGAATTAATTTTTTCTTATTTTCAAAGCTTATTGACATAAATTTCTGTCTGTAAAAGGAGCATTTCTACTTTGTCTCATTTCAGTAAAAATCGCTTCTCCAAATCTTATAAAAATTTTATTTTAAATTAATAAAGGTTTCGAAAGATGAAGTCGAAGTTTAAAATTATCATCATCTACTTCGTAAAAATGTTTCTAAAATTGATGTTAGTTGACATTAGATTTTTTAAATGCATAGTAATAGCGTATAAAAAGTTCTTTGCAAATATCTTATTTAATATTATAATTAAGGTTTATTCTCAATACACAGTGGGTTACCGAATGCGAATTGAACATAACAACCTGTGCAGGATCACAAGAACTACGAAAAGTCGGTGTCACTGACAATGTCGTAATAGAAAACTGTAGTCCCTACGCAGTTTTTGAAGGATCCACCTTTTACCTGTTGCAGATCCATGAATTTAAAATCCATGATTTTAAATTCAAATAAATCATTCACTGTTGTTTTTAAATTTCCTTTTTATTAACAATTTTTCTGTTGGAAAAATCGTATATAAATATATTGATATATAGTCGAATTATGTTAATTAATTTAATGGAACTTAGATACCATAAAAAGCACGAGCTATTATTTATTCTGACATCGTTATAATGCCGGGCTGCAATTTTTCGCCACAATGCTCTTCATTTTAGTAGTGTCTCGCATCCGTATGATATACGGATGCGAGACACTACTAAAATGTTACTTTTCCTGTTAACAATAATCATTCCGGTCATCTAACTCTGTTCAGGAGAAAATTTTTGAATTGAAATAATGACTTCCGGTACAAACCAGAAGTTCATATATAGTTAATCGTGGTCTCTTGCCCCTAAGCTTTCTATATCTGGTCTCAAGATTAAGAAAGAACGCCATAGGTTTACAATATTTGAAAATTGCAGTCCAATAACGAGTAAAATCTTCATTAGGTCCGACCCTACTCAAAATATGACACACGAACCTATCTTCCCACCTCCACGACCTTTGACCACCAAAATTTAATAGCATCAATCACCACCATAATAAACAAATCTCCCTGCAAAATTTCAGAAATTTTCGACAAAAAGCACGGGAGTTAAGCTTCAAACTTTGAACCAACTAGATATTTTAGTTACAGATACGTACAGTACATTGTTTGTATTAATCGAATGGAAGATTTCAAATGCTTGAAATTAAACTAGAAATCGCTGTCACGTAACACAATCACCATCTACATTGAGAGATACAATGCTTTTTTTTATAATACTGTGCTTGAATTTCAACTTCATTCCTCGTGGAATTTTTTAAAATAATTATTTTATTTCAAAACCATAAGTTTCCTCTTTTAATTCAAATAAATAAATGAATACAACATACATAGTAAAATCTTGTTAAGTCGAAATTTAGGGGGGGGGAAATCCTCGAGTCAACCACTTTGGTCCCCGATTTTCTGTTTTCTGTGAAGGTAAATTTCCCGTTTAATATTATATATAATACTAATGATCTCCGTAGTTATTCAAGCGTGACAACTGTATTATTATTATAACGCATTATTTTTGCATCGTCATCGACAATCTCGGTCTATTAAAAATTTTTATATAATATAGCAGTAAGACGCGTACATTATTACATTACGTGAATCATAACAAGAACGTGATATACATAATATCCGGAAATTCTGATTAATTCAGTTAGCCTCTAATAGGGTCGCTAATGTCTACAAGATTTCTTTATATTTCTGGAGTTAACTATATAGATATAGGCTACGTATGACGCTTTTGACTGAGTTATCAAGGCACCTTGTGTTCCAATCTGAATGCTGTCAGTAAAAGGATGATGTTGAGAGGTTGTAATGCCGTGTTGTTGTTTTCGGAATGGAGCCACAGTGTTTGTTTATCTTATCTGTGTGTTCACACGGAATATAAGGAAATGAAGATCACAGATCTATCAAAGAGTCTGTGATCTTCATTTTCACTACCATGGGAAAATAGGTTGAGTTGAAGCATCCACATTATCGACTTATTATATGGTAAACCCTATATTCTGTGCCCGATAAGGCTTCTAATTAACGCAGTATTTGACTTAGAAAGATATAAGATAAAAATCTCGCTCTGTGTGTGTGTATCTTTGAGAAATTCCTTAAAGATGAAAATGGAGAAAAAAAATTTTATATTTCATTAATTTAAAAATAAAATTTTAAAATAATTAAGGATGAAAAATCACTTAGTAATAATATTTAATAAAATATTTTTGTTTTTATTTACAAATGCTCATATAAAAATATTTATATTTTTTTCCTGTTAAATTTATTTTTATATTTTTTTGGATTAATACCATAAGCTTTTAATCTGTTATCTGAGAACCCACAGTTATTATTAACTTGGGAATTCTTGCTTTTATATCTCTTCTTTTTATTTTTGTGAATGCTATCTGTGTCATTCCATTTTGTTTCAGGAGGATTATCTATCAGGTTTCTCTTCTTCCACTTCTTCTTATTATTGTAACTATTATTGGATGATGTTTTATTATCAATAAATACTGATACTTTTTGCTGATTTGATGTTCCTTCTCCATTTTTATCTAAAGATTTGATTTTTTGAGTTTTTTCATTTTTTATAACTGATGATTGGTCATCATCCCTAATAAAAAGTAAATAAATTAGGAATTAAAGTTTTATAATTTTAAAATTCAACATAATTATTTTTATTAATAAAATATAACTTTTGTTTCGTTAGAAACAACATAGTTATATAATTTAAAATATAACTATGTTATATAAAATATATAAATTTAAAATATAGCATATAACATAGTTATATGCTACATACAATGCTATACAGTTATATTCAAACAGTGCTACATAGAAATATCAAACTCCATGTCACACTATGAAAATCTAGGAGAGAATTATTGAAAGGCAATAAAAAATCAGAATCTAATGTTTCTGAAAACCAAATTGTTTTCATGCAGAAAAAAACTTAATTCAGTCATTTACAATGTTCTTATTTTTGTAAAATTAATTAAAATTAAAACATTCTTAAATTTAATATTTAAAAATGAATATAAAACTTAAAATTTCAGTATGACTTTTAAAAATTATTGTAAGACATAGTTAATAAAATGTACTCTGTTGGAAAAAAATTAATGCATCTTAAAACCGGTATGCAATAGTAACCAAATTCTACACATGGTTTGGTATTAAAAAAAATAAAAAATTCATGACAAAATCATAGCATAAGGACACATTATCATAAATGTTATAAATCAGAAAATGGCTAAACTCAGTCTGGCAATTAATGAAAGTTAATCTCTGTTGGAGATGGCTTTACAACTTATTAATATGAAACAATTGAAATAAAACTGTTTTTCAATGGTATATCCTTGTGCTGTGATATAATATAATAAAGTTTTTACTTTTTCACTATCATTCCACATGCAAATTTAATTATTGTCTCATGGCTTCAAGGCACATTGGTTTTTTGCAACAGAGTGTATAAAAAAGACTAATAGAAAACAAATTTGCTAACTGAAACTGGATAAAAATTCTTCATTTTTATTCTTTTTTTTTAAAGAAGAAATATGCTTGACATTTAAATCAATGATTATTACACTAATGATAAATTGAGACTTGTTAGTAATTAAATTAATCTACATATTGGCTGAATTCTAAGATAAACATCTTTTGACATTTTACTATCTCTTAAATTTAATACCTCATACAGCTAATAGCATCTTATATTCAATGCCAAAAAACTAATCAGTTTGACAGAACAAGTTGCAACATAGTTATCATCATTTGTCTGTGAGTGGACTTCATTACATTGGTTCATTCTATTGTCACTTGAGTTATGTGCATTGACAATATAATGTATTGACTTCAAGTAAAATTTGGACTTATTTGCTATGAAAAAGCTCTTCAAAAATTACAATATGCAACATTGAAACAAAAATATATTATATATTCACAAGAGTGCTGAAATAATACTGCAGATCATTAAAAGATATGTTGTGTTAATTTATTTTAATGTTTTTTCTAAACTAAAAGTTTCAAGTGATTTTATGGATAAATTTATAAATTAATGTCAATGTAGATTAATAAAAACTTAAATGTACTTTCAATTTCAATAAACAAACAACACAGTAATTATTAATCAACAGTTAATACAGGTATCCTTTGAATAACCAGTAGTTATGTTCCAAAAAAGTGTTGTTATGCGAATTTGTGCTATATGAAACCAAGGACTAGTGCAAAACATAGCTTAGGTTCCAAAAGTTAACAAAAGTATACTATTCTTTTTCATCACTAACAGAAATGTGTTTATTAAAGCAATCAATAATTAACTAATAATCACAATTAAAAGTACTGTATTATGCATTAATATTAATTTTAGTTAAATTAGGTCATTTTCATTTTGCAAAGTATCATCATCTCAGATGATGATACTTTGTAAAAACAAACTTTTTTGTTGATCAGAAATATCAAATATCTTCATTTTTTTTAATTTTTATCATAAAAATTATTTTATGGATGACAAAATAAAAATATGTTATTAATCAAAAATTTGTTCTAGGTCATGTTTGTTCAATCAAGTATTGAGCAATTTTTTCCAGAATTTGTGTTCAAATACCAAAGTGTCCAAGTTGAGAACAGTTCAAGTACTGAGATACAGCATAATCATATGTTAGTAATCATTTGTAAAAATAACAAATGATTACTTACCTATAATTAAAAACAGTTTAATAACACTTAACTAAAAATGTTTAAATAAACTTTACTAAATACAAAGATTAATCTATAAAAACAAAAAAAAAAAAAAAAACAGTCTTAAAGGCCTAAATCTGAAAGCAAAACAATGACATCTAGTTGATAGGAAAGCTAGGCCAAGAAAGAAAAAATTGTATTATTAGTTTACATTAAAGTAAATCTGACAAAAGGCACAAAGCAAATTGAAAATTTCAATATTCTAAAATTTACGAGCAAATTTGAAACAACACACATGCTTACTCATATAAAAAAATTTTGAATAATGGAGTTTTTTCTTAAAAACTGTGAATTTTATATGGAGGATTTCCGAAATTCTCAAACCATCTTGTATGATGGGATATCCCCAATCTTCACTGTGTTAGAGTGAAACCATGTTGTAGAAATGCTTTGTTATACAAGGGATACCTGTATATCAAAAATATTTTTAATAATTTATAAATAGACAAATTATAAGTTACTTACTTGTCCTGATAACTATGCAATAAAATTTTCTTCTTTGCATTTAAATTCTGAGATTTCTTTTGAAAAGCTTTTACATCATATATTTCTTCTTCTTTTGTTCTGAAATAAAATTCATTTGCATAAAACTAAATGTAGAAAAATATATTAAATGAATTAATAAATTATTTACCTATATTGGCAAGTTTTCTTTAATGAACACCATCGATTTAATTCCTTATCGTCAGCTGTCAAAATCTAAAATTTTAAATACATTTTACAAACTTCAATATATAAATTTTTCATAATTATTTTTTAAATATATATTTTTTCTAATAGAGAGACGGATAAGATAATGCAACATAAGAGCAATCTGCAAATAGAAGGGTATCTGTCAGATAAACTTTCTATCAGAAACTGGCCCATATTCAGGTGTTAAGACTTGTGAAGAAAGCCCAAAAAACACATGGTTAGCCCACAGGTCATGTGAAAACCTAAGGCCAAGTATTAGTGTTTAGTGCTTTTATCCACTCCACCACTGATGGGCTTAGAAAAGATAAGATCCAAATAAAAACATCTTAGATGTAAAAAAATTACATCAAGTAAAAATTATGACAATTTCGACAACAGTTCAAATTTTTTTTCTTATGAGTTTTTCTTTGGTAATGATAATATGATGCTTTGAAGTGGTAACCACAAGATTTTTATTATTATTTCTACATTTTGTCTTGAAGTACCAAACTTATCTTTACCAGTAAAAAAAAATTTGTATTCTAATTGTCATAATGTAGCATACCAAAAGATGGTGTTTTAACTGGCTCAAAGATTTATTCAAAGCGGATGTTATGCACAGAATTTAAAATTTTGTAAAGAAAATATTTATTTGCTCATTTTTAGTTATAGTATAAAATTTTATGGTTTACAGTTTATACAGAACTTCAGTAATAATTTAAGTATTTCATAAATAGAATTTATACTTTAATTTTGTTTAACTCATTTACTTTAATTATTTATTTAACTAACTAGCTGTGTTACCCATTGTTGATGGAAGATATTTATTTGGTGAAATTATATTTACTTACCTAAAGAGTATATCTGCAGAGAATTGTGTTACAGATTCATTATAGTCCTATTAAAGATGTGTAATAGTTTTTAGTTAACTTATTGAATAACCTCCCAAATTCATGTTTTATCATGAGAAGCACAAATGAACAGATTTTCAGCTACTAGCACATGAACACGCAACATAGAGTTGGCCATGTGAAAAGCAATTGCATCCCAGGTCAAGTCCCACAGTTCTTTGACTTTGGCCTTGAGATTTGTTAATGGTCATTGCAAAGCATAGACCAACTGGAAATTGTAGGCATTTACATTTGAATGGTTAGTTTGTTGGGATTACTGGTATGCTATTAAGTGATATATCTGTCCTTCAATTTTGAAAGTTGACATGAAATTTCTTTTCATGTATTTCAATGGCATCAAAACTTATCATTTGGAAGGCTCTGTTGTGCTTTAAAAAAGGTTTAGTATCAGGATGAGTCTCATTTAATAGTGATAGAAATAGTTTTGGGGCAAGTACAACATCCAGTTTAACTTTTCCAGAAGAGCAGCAAATCTCCTGTGACTCATTCTCCCACTTCAGAGCACTGCAATATCCACATACTTTATCTATAAACCCAATATTAGCTGATGATGAATAGTCTAAGAGTGTCATAAATGAAAGCACTTCAGAGTTTTTTGTGCCAAGGATTTATTTTTCGATTCAAAAACCCACCATATCTAAACATACTGCCATCTAGCATGATGACATCACTTTTTTTAATGCTTCAAAGATTTTGCTAATTAACTACAGTAGAGCATCGATTATCCGACCCCCGATTAATCGTCACATCGGTTAACAGCGTTCTAGTCGGCAAATTCAAATGTCCGCTAGTGATGTGGCGCTACAATATTTGGCTATGTCTTGGCTACTTTAATAGTATTTTTACGTGTTTTAGCTGGCAACATGGCTCGACCATGAAAGGAAGCCAGTATTTAAACGAGGCTTAATTTTCTAATTTTTAACAATACAATAGCGACGATTATTATTTTAAAAAAATTTTTGTTAGGCTTAAAATCGATGAAAATTCAATGCGAAGTAGGTTAATAGCAATATACTAATATATTAATTGTATGAGATATACTAATATACTATACTAATAATGTATTTTTTTCACATTTTTCAGTTATCCGTTTTTTTTCAGTTATCTGACCAACCTCAGGCCCCAATTGAGTCGGATAATCGATGCTCTACTGTAATTATAATTTAATGTCAGTTCTTCAAATATAATAGTATACTTCAATAATACACTTTTCTTATAGATAATGCCTTGACAGGAAGTACTAATTCATGTATCACCATCTAGTGAAGAGAGAGACAAATAGACAGACAGAAATCCGTTGCAGTATTATTTAATTAATAAAAAATCTGTAGGTTTGATTAATGGTAAACATTCTGAGGATCATAAAGATGCTACAGTTAAAATTTGGTAACAATTGGTTCAGTAGTTTTTGTGGTTAGTTGAAACAAACAAAAAATATGTTCTCTTTATATAGAAGTATAGATTAATTACCTCATCAACTGTAAGTCCAAAATCATTTGGAACAACTTTTCGATATGAAAAACGTACTGGCATGTCATCAATAATATCTTCATAATCTAATTTATAATATTCATCAAGGTAATTTTCAAAGTTTCTAATTTCTGAAATTTAGAAAAATATTTAATATATCAAAATAAATAAATATATACATATAAAATAAATAAATCTTTTTAAAATATTGGCAAATCATATATTATTATTTAATATTAATCTTCTTATTTATACATTTCATAAATGGCCATTAAAACATAAAATATGCATTATATACTATATATATATAAAGATACTACAAAACAAGATGAGAGCCATCAAAAGCACCAACTAACACCTGTAATCCAGTTAAAATGAACCAATTTATTATAAGAATAGATGTTTTCAACAGTCTTTAACAGCCATCTTCAGGTTATGGAATGCAACATAGAACAAAATTTAAGTAAAATAGAACTCATTAAATTTGGTAGTCACATGCATGAAAGAATGTTGAAGAAAAATAAGATGAAATTAAAATTTGGTTTTTTAAATTTCATATGGAAAATATTTTTTTTTTATTTTTACAAATTCAAAAGTCAAAATATAGTTTTTGATCATAAAAAAAAACAAATATATTTACTCTTGCAAAATAGATTTCTTTATGTAACTGTAAAATTTTACAAATAGTTTTTTTAAATAAATTCAATGTTTTCCCATTTTTGATTTAGACCACTTTCATAATCACTGGCACAATTATTATATATTAATGTATAATATTGTAAAGTATTGATATTGTAAAATATTGTAAATTCAACATCTATATATTTTCAGATATTACATTATTAGCGATTTTTTTTAACTCTTTTACTATAATTCAAATAATTTCAAGTACAAGTATTATTTAAAACTTTGACACTACATTGTAAACTATATAAAATACTTGTTTATTCTAGTAGCTGAAACTTTATTTAAGCAAGAAATGTTTTAGTTCTGCTTTAGATCAGCATTAATGGCTAAAGCTAGCTGAAAACATTTCTTGTTTAATATAAAGTTTGGTTACCATAATAAGAAAATATTTTTTATGGCTGAACAATAGTTTGTAATTTAAAAATTAATATTGGAAATAGAACATAAGAACAAAATTTCTGCAGTTTTCATAATAAATAATTATAATGTATTTACTATAATTTTTATTTTTTAAACATTAATTCAAACTATTTTACCAGGATCAAATTCTGGTCTTTTCTCAGAAATCATTTCAGAAAATTTTGATTTTCTCTTTCCTTTCCTGCGTTTTGTTGATTCTATGAGTTTCCTTTGAAAATCTTTTTGAGGATCATAATCTGCATCCATCTATATTCATAATAAATATATTTGATCAATATACATACATAAATTCAAATAAATTATTAATTTAACCTTTTCACATAACTTAATACCAAAATAAAGTTTACTTTAACATAATAACTAAAAAAATTTAGCAAATGTAATAAGTCTAATTTTTTTTAAAAGAATAATAAATAAATTCAAGATTTATAGCAGTAAACAGAAATAATTTTAAAATATTTGTCCTTGGATCTGATTTAGATGTTTAAAAATAGAAACAAAAATTCAAAATTTAATTAAAAACTAAAATAAAATTTATGATTTTTCAATTATTATATTTTGAAAATTGGAAAATTAAAATTTTTTAATTAAAATCTTCCAAGTAAGTTAATTAAATTGGATTATTTTTATTCACACTGTTATTAATAGTCAACCATTCTCATGTAGGATGAGAAGAATTAGATATTATTGGAACTTTTACAAAATTTATGACCAAAAAATTAATTAATAGTTTAATATAATAATATTTTAAATATTAGTAATGTTAATATATTTTTTAAATNATAAATTAAAAATTTTCTTTAAAATTTATAATAATTACAATAAAATCTGGATCTTCACAATGTGGTTCATAATATGCATCATCTTGATTTTCATAATTTTCTCTAGTCCAATTGTCCCAATTCTCAGCTAAAATATGTATATTTCATAATTAAAAAACTTTAATTAGAAGTATAAAAATTTATAATTGAGTATAAACCTAATTTACGTAATGCTTTAAAAATTAAATAGTACTCTTTTCTCTTGGGAAAAAAACAATTTCATAAATCTTTTATTTTAAGTTAAGAAGTATATATTTTTTAATTCTTGAGGTTACATTTTCATTATTAACATTCTGCTGATTTGTATAAACTCAGCAAGCATGTAATACTTTTTAGAACACCAGTGTATATACAGTGGCATATTATCCTATAAGCTTGAGAAAATTTTTGAGGGAAATATTTTCTTATAAAAGATGGGTTTGAGACCCCACCAACAAGAGGTCTCAAACCAAACTTTTATAAGAAAACATTTCCCTCAAAGAAAAATGTCTAAAGTCAATACTATACATGAAGTCCCTAATTCAAATTTGCCTGGGCCTGTTGTTGTAGCCTAATATAATAATAACAATAATAATAATCTAATATTTAAAATGTATTATTTGCATAAAAATATGTTCTTCAAACAAATACAATAATTAAAAAATAATCAATCAAAATAATTTATTTCTACTGTTAATTTTTGAATTATTTTAATTTATTCTGTTAAATTTTGAACTGTAAAATTTCATTCTCATTTATGAATTTTTCTTTACAATTTAATGAAAGTAACAACCTTGACCATTCTCTTAACTCTATTAATTAATAAAAACAATAAATTTTAGTTTTGACACAAATCTTATATAATTTCTTAAATTTCAAAAAAATTTAAAAGATTTTTAACAAAAACAAAATAAATTTATTTTCTATTTAAATGACATTTAGTAAATTACTGTTTTATCAGTTTTAGTAATGAAAACTTTAATCATTTTTTTCTAGAATATAAAAAAATATTAATGAAGCATATCTTTTATATATTCAGTAATATAAATATTTTTTTCCTGCTTACATAAACAAGATATAATTTTAAAATTTAAATAACTATTTGTTCTTAAAAAATAAAATTAAATACATATTTTCTTGTAAAAAAATTAATAGTAATTATTAAATTCTACAGCTATAAAGATTTAAATTTCTAAAGAACTTACCGTCAATTTCCTCATCTGATGGAAAGACTGGTTTTTGAATTTCTTCTTCTTCTTTATAATATTCATCATTAAATATTTTCTATTAAGATAAATTAGTTAATCAATAATTGCTTCACTATTAAATTAAAATTTAAAAATAGAAAAATGTTCAATATTTTAAAATTTAGAAATTCATAATTTGAAAGATACAGTAGAGTCTCAAAAACTCGGCACTCGATAACCTGGCCACACTTGGCAAGGCAAAAAAATCCTTAGTTAATTAATTTTCATTATAGACAGCTTTATGCCTCATAAAGTATTTTTCTGAGGTCTGTCTTATCAGGTAAATTACTGTACACAGTGTATTCATTAATTTTCATTTTCATGTAGTAAAGGCTCTTTCTTCATAAAGGACGTACTTTTCCTTTGTTTAAGGGTATTTGGGCAGTTTATTCTCTGTTGTATTCTCAAGTAAACAATACATACAAGTACAGTACAGTATTTTCTGAGGAAACACTCATACTTATTTTTTTAACCCCATTCTCAATAACCCGGCATTTTCACAAACTCGGCCACACTTCGGTCCACATTAGGCCAAGTTTTCGAGACTCTACTGTATCTATAAAATGTAAAAATGTATTAATATTTTTAAAATTATTACATTACATATTGTTACAAGTAATTAGTAAAAAAACTGTTATATTGCTGCTTAAGTTAATTTAAATACTAAGAAAACGAATAAACTTATAAGTTAAGGAGATTAAAACATAAAGTTGAGGCTAATATATTTTTCATAAACAACTGAACTGTTATGCATTTCATGCAATGGTGTTAATGTGAGACCCGAAAGGCCCTGGGTCTAAATTAATATTTTATTAGTTACGTTAAAATAATGTCATCAAATATTACTTTAATTTTTGTGAGAAAAATACTGTTTTAACGTGGGAAAAACCCAGATAACAGATGTTACTTCCTTTCACAAAAGAGAACATCCTCTGACTTTCCCTTATCGGGTTAAAAATCTCGCTCCGATGGGAAATGGTTACCCCTCATTCATCCCCTTTCGTCCATTCTCACGAAAGAGTTACTGGCCGATGATTGGTCGAAATTCAGGAGATATAAGGGAATTTAGTCCGAATTCGAGGAGTTCAGCGACAGATCCAAAAGCATACAAACTCCACATACGTTTCCCTCCTGATGGCCAACGCCCTTAACGGAGTCCCATAGACTAAGTCCCGAGTCTACACACCGAAGTGATACTTTTATATTTTGTGCACGTATTGATCTCCCATATGAAAGTAATATGAACTCTCTCTACAAGGTGTCCCTTACCTACATAGAAGAAGACGACAACTAAACAGGTCGTATGTTTAGAATAATTTTGTGAGCTCTCTCTCTCGATCGCGCATTAACATAGAATAGGTTTTAGCTTATAGCTTGTCACTTAATTGTCGTTCATTGATATTTGTATTTCGTTTTGTTTTTGGCTTATTAAATTTACTCTTGTTTTATTTTACTAAATATGTCTCTTCAAATTTATTCCAAATCAGATCGCAAACGCGTGTTAATCCGCGTATAATAAGATTGATTAACTGGTGTCAAGGAATCCTGACGAGCATCTGAACTTCGCCGTTCAGATCAATATTGCTAACGCTCTCCTATTAAAGTTAGAGAACTGGTCTTACCGACTAGTGCCCGTAAGTGGCGTAGACTAAGACCTACGTCCTGGCTGAACTCACATTACAGATTTTTCTCACAATCAATATTAGTTTCAATGTGCTGTTGTATGTATTATTTTCTTTTAGATAAATATCATTCTACATACCTTATAATTAACAGATCAAGAGCGCAACATCATTTTGATATTTATTCCGTGAAATTTATTTAAAAGTTTACTTAAATTTTTTTTATTAGTTTTACATTTTTATTTGTCAATTACTATATATGTAATCTAAAATAAATTTTAAGCATTTATAAGAATAAATATATAATCACATTTTTTCATTTTTAGATTACATATATAGTAATTGACAAATAAAAATGTAAAACTAATAAAAAAAATTTAAGTAAACTTTTAAATAAATTTCACGGAATAAATATCAAAATGATGTTGCGCTCTTGATCTGTTAATTATAAGGTATGTAGAATGATATTTATCTAAAAGAAAATAATACATACAACAGCACATTGAAACTAATATTGATTGTGAGAAAAATCTGTAATGTGAGTTCAGCCAGGACGTAGGTCTTAGTCTACGCCACTTACGGGCACTAGTCGGTAAGACCAGTTCTCTAACTTTAATAGGAGAGCGTTAGCAATATTGATCTGAACGGCGAAGTTCAGATGCTCGTCAGGATTCCTTGACACCAGTTAATCAATCTTATTATACGCGGATTAACACGCGTTTGCGATCTGATTTGGAATAAATTTGAAGAGACATATTTAGTAAAATAAAACAAGAGTAAATTTAATAAGCCAAAAACAAAACGAAATACAAATATCAATGAACGACAATTAAGTGACAAGCTATAAGCTAAAACCTATTCTATGTTAATGCGCGATCGAGAGAGAGAGCTCACAAAATTATTCTAAACATACGACCTGTTTAGTTGTCGTCTTCTTCTATGTAGGTAAGGGACACCTTGTAGAGAGAGTTCATATTACTTTCATATGGGAGATCAATACGTGCACAAAATATAAAAGTATCACTTCGGTGTGTAGACTCGGGACTTAGTCTATGGGACTCCGTTAAGGGCGTTGGCCATCAGGAGGGAAACGTATGTGGAGTTTGTATGCTTTTGGATCTGTCGCTGAACTCCTCGAATTCGGACTAAATTCCCTTATATCTCCTGAATTTCGACCAATCATCGGCCAGTAACTCTTTCGTGAGAATGGACGAAAGGGGATGAATGAGGGGTAACCATTTCCCATCGGAGCGAGATTTTTAACCCGATAAGGGAAAGTCAGAGGATGTTCTCTTTTGTGAAAGGAAGTAACATCTGTTATCTGGGTTTTTCCCACGTTAAAACAGTATTTTTCTCACAAAAATTAAAGTAATATTTGATGACATTATTTTAACGTAACTAATAAAATATTAATTTAGACCCAGGGCCTTTCGGGTCTCACATTAACACCATTGCATGAAATGCATAACAGTTCAGTTGTTTATGAAAAATATATTAGCCTCAACTTTATGTTTTAATCTCCTTAACTTATAAGTTTATTCGTTTTCTTAGTATTTAAATTAACTTAAGCAGCAATATAACAGTTTTTTTACTAATTACTTGTAACAATATGTAATGTAATAATTTTAAAAATATTAATACATTTTTACATTTTATAGATACAGTAGAGTCTCGAAAACTTGGCCTAATGTGGACCGAAGTGTGGCCGAGTTTGTGAAAATGCCGGGTTATTGAGAATGGGGTTAAAAAAAATA